AGAAGATGTGGGTTGGAATAGGAAGGGACAAGATAATGAATTCCACAATTCTGTTGCTCTGGAAATCTATTCTTGTGGCCTCTTGTACCTCCTTTGGTGTGACCTTTCTTGGAACATGATCCATTTAACCTAAGCCCATTGGAGTCAAGTATTGAAGGTCTACCTATCATACAGCCTTGAGCCCCTTTGGAGGAGGGCTGTGTAGAAGTGAGCCTAAGCCAGGGCAGGGCCAGTGGAGGATGTGGGTTGGGAGTGAGAGGCACCAGCAGGGCCAGGGTAACCCAGAGCTGGTCTTCGCAGTAGGATTCAGAGACGAATTTGGATTAGAGGGCATTGAAATGAGTGGACGGGGAATAGCAATTTTTCTTATTTTTTCCAATTCAAAATTTGAAAATTTGTAATATTTTGACCGGCTCTGAACTTGGCTGAATAGAATGAGTGAACAATGCTTTGTGGATTATTTTTGTTTTGTCTGTCTGCATCATTTGAAAATACTTTCAACAGCTCTAATTTATGGAGTCAGATATGTTTTCATTTTCCACACCAGATCCACAATGATACAACATATATACTTGTTCCCATCATACAAGAACTAGGAGTCTCTAAGTGAAATTAATAGGTAGCGGGTTTAAAACAAACAAAAGAAAGGATTTTTTTCCACTCAGTGCAAAGTCAACCTGTGGAACTCCTTGCCAGTAGAGGTTGTGAAGACCAGGACTTTAGTTCTTTCTTAAATTCATGGAAGATAGGACTATCAATGGCTATCTAACATAATTCAATAGCCAGGACAGGTAGGAATGGTGTCCCTAGCCTCTTTCAGATGCTGGGAAGGGGTGATGGGCAAGGGACTGTTTGAAGATTCCCTGTTCTGTTACCATGTGTGGCTGTCCTTATGTTCTTATAACCCATCTCTACATATTCCAAGCCAACACTTCCTACCTATAAAAAGACAGCTTAGCTTTCAGCAACAATAACACATCACCTTAGTCACTTTTAAAGGATGGGTTGTTTTAGTGCATTCAAAGTTAGTTACCCTTTACACAGCTGCTCAGTTTAATAATCGACCCATTTAACAGCAGTACCAGTTTATGCTACATATTTCATAGTACCTTACTTCAAAAGAACAGCTTACGTATCTACACTGACTTATAAAATACCATTCACATTTTGATTCTGTGGTTTTCCCAAAAGGCTTGACTCTTCGGAGTGCTATGGAAAATACAGCGATTCCTCCCAACAAAGGCTGAAATGGCAACTTGGTTCTCCCACCACTGGAAAGGAAGAATTTGCAAACAATGGACGTCTGACGCAACCAGAAGGAAATCGCTTTCCCATCAGAGTAAGTACAGGACTTAAGCCCCTAAACTCTCCATGGAGGAGCTGATCCATCATTGTTTTGGAGCAGATTTGGGCATGCTAAGTCATGCTGTACCACTCCTGAAAGCTGTGACTACCACCACTGATGTGACTATGGCCTCTGTTATTTCACTTAAACTTGAGGATCTAACATCTCCCAGTTAGTACGTGACAGAAAGCAGTAACAGATGGCTAGAGCGGGAAGTAAAGTGGGGCCAGAAAACCTCAATTTGAAGCATAAATCCCACCAACTTCGATGGGACTTCGGTGAGGGCTTGGATCAGGTTGTTTTTCCGAGTTGGGACCTGGGCATTCTCTGCACTGTACCCAGCACAAATCCCCAATTTGTTCTGCTATCCAAATACTAATACCTTACGGCTTGAGCAATCCCAGTGACATTAGTGCTACAGAGTAGAGTACTTCCCGTGAGGGTCTTGGGCACTGGCCCTCAGCTTTGAAAGAAGCAGCTCAGCATTAGAACATCCACTAGGAAGTTGGCAGGGGGGTAGGGGAGAAAGTTTGTTGACAAACTAATGTGGACAGTTTAAACTAGTGTCGCCAGTGATGCAGCTTGGTTTCTGTGCCTTTGTCCTCTGGGTTTTAAAATGTATTTGAACAAATAACTTTTTCTACCCGTCTGCCTAAAGCTCACCATAAAAACACATTTTAAAAAAAATCTAAAAAAAAAAAAAAGGAACATTGGGCAAAAGAATGGCCCTATTAGACCGCAACAGTCTCTACCGTGTTATGAAGCATGGAAACAAGGGAGAAAGAACACCTAGGAATAGGCCCATCTTCCTACAAGATGCAGAAATGGTGACTTTACAATGAACACACCCAACGTGAGCAGCGGTGGGAGGGTGGAGATCAACAGCAATGAGAGAATGCCACGTGGCGGAGCGGAAAGCCAGCAGGAAGCTGCTCAGCAAACCATCCAGCTTCCATGTTGTTATTGCAACCGAAAAGAAGAACTTGACTTTTACAGAGTGAAAAGTAAAGGCAACAGCCTCAAGCTGCAGTCTCTGTTTAACCTGCTCATGGAGGGCCTGAGCCTCATTTTCACAAGGGCCCAGTATGTAAAGGGGGCGTCACTATCAGTGTGCAACATAAAAGGGGCCTTTGTGTAAATGAGCTGCCGTGGTAAAGCACCTCTGTACCCATCTTGAATTTCCAGCTATGAAAATGGGGTGTAAAATGCCAATCCCGGCCCCATAGTACCATGCCAGCAAATAGCACCCCCGTTCTATATCTAGCACAATAGCCTTAACTCTGCTCCCACCCCTGGGGCAGTTGAGAGGGGCTGTCCTGAGTGCCCTGCTATGCAAAGAGCTTTGTTGTTGCAAGGTGCACACATAAGGAGCTGTGAGACGCAACCAACCCTGCAGCTGTCAGAAGAGGCGTGGCCCCAGAAGATGGAGGGATGCTACAACTCCTTTCGGCTTGCTCACTGAGACCTTCCGTTTCAAGTCCCTGCATGCCGCCACAGTGATCTAGACGAGCCTGCATGGAAATAAGAACCCAGGTGCCCTGCATCCTCAGCTCTCTTCCCTCCAGTCTCTTGTCACGTCCACCAAAGGCGAGGGACGGCGTGCCCACTGTGCATTGGCGTGAGTGACTACACACAGAGCTGCAGGCCCCACGGGTTCACGTTCCTGCACAGTGCAGAGCAAAGGAAGGCGTCCCAGGTAATTGGTACTCCAGGTCCCTTTGCCTCCGGTGGGTGCAGCATTGAGTTGCTAATGTCTACCTAGAGGTCTGCTTGACCTCAACAAAACATAGCCTGCAGTATCTTCAACCTCTTCCCCTCACTGCCACAAGCTGTGGGAAGAGCATGGCAAGACACTCCCTCTAGTCCAGGGACTCTCAGAAATAAATAGCACAAGCTGACCAGGCAGCAACTTGTGCAGGCAGGTGATGGGCCCAGTCCCTGAAACAGCTGGCAGTGTTAACATCAAGTTTCTCGGCATAACTAAATCAAGTTTCTGGTCTGAGGTTAGGCCTTGAACTAAGGCTCTGGTTTAAATCTTGTGAATTCATCAATTAAGAAAAAAAGAGCTCAAGGGATGCTGGCCATTAAAAATGGAGTCAAATTCCGTTCCCCCAAATCATTCAAAGGGATGCCGTCGACTTGAAATCTAGCAGGATGGTTTCTCACCATTAAAAAAAATTACATTTTTGGGGCAGTGTCTAAAATTCATTTTCCTCCTACTGATACGTGTAAAACCTAGCCTGGGAAATGATGGAATGAAACCCTCTTGGTTTTCTTTCTGTTTTCACATGATAACACTTGGCACAGGCATTTTTTCTCCTGAAAAAAAAATTAGTCATTGTGTGGCTATACTGTGGGCAGGAATAGGGGAAAGAGAAACAATGCAAAATTTGCTTGTAATGACAAGGGGCAGAAATAGAACATGAGGTTTTGACTAGGTGATCAAAAAAATTCAATGAAAATGTGTTTTTCATGGAAGAAAAAAAAACAAACCCTGAGTTTTCAACTAAGTGAATTTTTTTTCGTGGAAAAACATCTGCTTTCCAAAGAAAAATTTGATATAATTAAAAAAAATGGAACGACATCTGTCTTAGTCATGGTTGTTAATATTGTGGTGAGAGGAGGCCCCAGATTAAAATTAAACGTCACAGTGTCATATTTTTCCCTTTGGGAAGTGCTCAGATTCTATGGAAGTGAGGGGAGGAGGTTTTCTATCTTAGCTGGAGATTTCTGTTGAAAACATTCAGACTGTATGTAACAAGCCATGCTAATGACTGTGTGTTTTGTTGTAGGCCAAGAATAGTCACCCTTTGGGATTACAAAAAGAATCTATGGCTATGCCCATACTGCCGGCTTTTTGCGGAAGAACGACTGTTCTTGAGCAAAAACTTGCAGAGCGTCTACACTGCACATGTGTTCTTGTGCATGTAAATTTACAATAAGGCATTGGAACAGAGGGCTTGCTGCGCAAGAGTTATTCCTCTCCGCACGAGGAATAAGCCCTCTTGTGCAAGAGCTCTTGCGCAAGAAGGCAGTGTGGACGGGCAACAGGGATTTCTTGCGCAAGAAACCCCTATGGCTAAAATGGCCATCAGAGCTTTCTTGCGCAAAAGAGCATCTACACTGCCATGGACGCTCTTGCGGAAAAGCACATGGCAGTGTGGACGCGCTCTTGCACAAGAACTCTTGTGCAAAACAGTTCTTGCATAAGAAGCCTGCAGGGTAGATGTAACCTAGGTGTTTAGCTCAGCATAGGCCAATACCTCATATCCAGAGCAATGACTTGTTAAAAGGCAATTTTTGGCAACGGGACTATCCCAAACCAGAAACTTGGGAGATGTAACCAGGCAGCGATTATGTTACTTTGCATTTCACTAATTCCATTTCCCTTTGTCGTGTTAACTGTTGGTTTGGGTTGGTTGGTTTGTTTTTAAAGACACATTTGACACTGCTCAGCCTGTAATTGTAAACCTACTTCAGGGTTTCATGCTCCCTAAAGTGAGCCTCATATACTCAGTCATATGAGAATGCTATTTTACCCACAACTGATAATTAAAAAGTAAATAAACAATTCAAGCATTGGCCGGCGAGGAAGGGGGGGGGTTAGATTTTTAAAAACAACCATATT